AAATATGCAAAGCAGTCCAAGAAGTTGTTCAAATGAGAAAGGAAAGCTTAATACAAAATTTCCTCATGAGGTTGGTGGGTTTGCAGCTAATTTTACAGCTGTGATATACGAAATAAATTTATTTAAAAGAACCTCTTGTTTTTAAATACTTTGGCTTATTATATAGTTCAGTTTTCTAAATGTATACATACCGATCTGTTTAAAATACAGTTTTTGTTTTCATGTTCATATCCTGTAATTTCACTTATTTTTTAACATGTTTCTTACAGGATGGAGGTTTGCTTCTGAATAATCCTTCAGCATTAGCAATGCATGAGTGTAAATGTCTTTGGCCGGATGTCCCACTAGAGTGTATAGTATCCCTGGGCACTGGACGTTATGAGAGTGATGTGAGAAATACTGCAACATACACAAGCCTGAAAACCAAACTTTCTAATGTTATCAACAGTGCTACAGACACAGAAGGTTAGTTTGTTTCTGTGTTACTTCAAGATACTTCAACTTAGAGTGATTAGTTTTTGGTAGATAGAACATGTTGATCTTAAATTCATATGAGTGTTTTGTCTATATTGTGTGCCTAGGAAACACATGGGAACAAGTATTTTGTTTTCCTTTTTCCTCACTTTTATTAGAGTTTCCCTAAGTAGAGAGACTGCTTTCCACCTAGGAACTGGTGCTCTCTTTGCTTCCTTAGAATTGGAGGAATATCACAAAAGCCTGAATGGAGATTCTTTAGCCAGTTAAGAAAGCAAAAGTCACAAAAGGAGTCAGGTTGGTTCGAATGTACACATAATAATATTGTGAGAGTATTTATGGAATTAGATTATTAGTGATGTGGAGGCAAACTGGAATTAAATAAATTATTGCTTCCTTTCTTCCTGAATCCATTTAAAATCCATCTAGCATGTAAATCGAATTACCTTCCTCTTCAAAAACCCCTTAGACTTTCTATAACATGTGGAACAAAATTCAATAGCCTCTCTCTCTGAAATTTATCATACATCCTATAAGACCTAGTATATCTCTTCTTCCTCTCAAAGCCACTCTTTGATTCTTACTATTCTTCAAACTTACTAAGAACCCTTCTGACTCAGGGCCTCTGCAGATGCTGTACTCTCTTTGTACAGCACATACCTGGGTATGTGCTTAACCCTTACTTCATTCAGGTCTCTGCTCAAATGTCATTTCCTCAGAGAGACCTTTTCTGACCACTTGCCCAGCTTCCTACCACTTACCCTGCTTCTAGTCTTCTTTCTTTTGTTTGTTTTTGTTTTCCTCTTGGAGCATTTGTTTTGTTATGGAAATATATATATATTACTTATTTCTTAGTCCCACAAGTATGTGAGGCAAAGGGCTAGAGATGTAGCTCAGTGGTGGAGCATTGCCTGCCATGTGTGAGGCTCAATGTTTAATCCCCAGCAGTTTGCTTTGCCTTACCCCAGTTTACCATTGACTCCAGGGCATGGCATGTACTGGGCAGTCAGAGAGTATATTTTGAATTTCTAGTTTGAATTTTGGTTTTACATTCTTTCTAGTATTGTTTTATTTTTATGTGTGTGAAATGCGTTATTAAATTTAGAGGATTATCATTTAACAGCTTCTTATTTCTAAGATGTCATTCTTTGCATATCAGCATGTTATTGACTGTATCATTAACCTAAATGAGGATTTTCAACTCCCCACTAAGGTCTTTTATCTTTAAATGAAAACCAACAAAAACAGATAAATTCTTATCATCTGAAATTTTATTGTTACATTAATAGGGTATTGTTTTTTCCTCAGCTTTATTATAATTGACAGATAATACTTAAGGTATACAACATGGGTGTTTTAATATAAGTATACCTTATGTAATAATTCGCACAGCCA